TTTGGGTCCCTTCCCATGTTCAGCCTGGAGTCGGCAGGATGCTGCCAGGACCTAATGGATTTTTCCAGCTGCCACCAAGTCCACTTGTGTACTCAGCAAGGCAGTTCAGCTCCAAGGTAATTTGCTCAGCTTCAGGGACACCTTCCACGCCCATGGGTTTGTGCATCTCATGACTAAATTACTTCTAACTCACCTGTATTACGATACTGCAATTCCTTCCTACTTACAAGACAGATTTACACTTAACCTGTGTTCTACAGACTCTAGAAAACCCATGTCACAAAGGAAACCTGAGCTAAGGAACAGATTCTCTAATGCCTGAGAATTCAGGAATTCACACTGCATTCTTCCCAAGCCTGAAAGGAATTAATAACATCTCCTCCTATTTGCACCTACATCTTTTGATAGAACTCAGTGGAAATTGTTATCTTTGAGATATCTATTCTCATAACTTCAGTTGATTTTGGCTGATGAATTTAGAAGTTTTTGGGGCCAAGTTAAATGGACAGAGTGACCAAATGCAATCCTTCTCAGAAACTAGACTAAAAAAGAATCCTAAGGTGTTATCACTACTTACCTTCTTTATAGTTGTCTTTCTTTGCGTCTGATTTCGGCTTTGCCAGCTGCCTGCATTAAGAAAGAGGGCAGAGAAAAGGAGAACAGAATTGTTGTATTACAAGTACTGTATGGCAGTATTATATTGCATTGCATTGTACAGTCCCCCCTCAACACTGGGGAACTTCTCCAGGTTTATAATCTGGTGCTACATGTCATGCAAAGAAAAGCCTGTGGACCCCAGGGAGGATTCAGATCCCAAGTCTGCTGTGTACCATATGCACACAGTTCTCTAAGGACAGACATTTCCTAACTTGCTTGTCTGGATGTCTCAATAGGGCAAGTAATATCTCAGTAAGCAGTGGAGGAGAAACCTCAAAGGACAGATCGAGATACAATGCTTTGTATACAAGCTGAAAACTTTAACTAAGAAGAGTGATTCCAGTTCTAAGACACTGGCACTAACATACTCATGTTCCCCTGTGGATTTTTAGTTGTTGATTTATCTTGAGAAGACTCACTGTGCATTCTTTCACTTTTCCTTTTCACTGTATAAATTGAACAGAGAGTGAACACCCAGAAATACGATACCTCGAGAAGTGTCGGTTGACATTTTCACTCAATATTTCCATACTTTTGTCAAAGCTGGAGTCTGAACAGGGCGGCATGTTTTTTCTCATCGATCTTAAACAGTGTCCATTGAAACATTCAACACTGCCAGAGGAAAATTCCTAGGAAAAGAAGGACAAATGTATTTATGTAACCACATATATTGCCTCATTTGGGCAAGTTTATTCTCTTACACTCCTGACTCAAGAGTGATGTGACTGATTGTAGGTAAGCCTCAAACCACTTCTGCACCAAAAAGTAGCTCTCAGGAAAAAAAACCCCACACCAGATTTCGAAGGAAAAAAACCAACAAAACCTTTGATTTCAAACTTGGTACAGTGACCACAGTAACCAAAAGCTCACCTGTAACATGTAATTTTTCCACTCCTTTAAGAAGGGAGAAAAATTATATCATAAAAGAAGGAGGGGTTTGGGGCCAAACAACCCACAAAACAATAGGGAGTGAAGAAGCCTCTCTGCTTGGATTGGATCAGTTGAGGGACTGTGTTTCTCCTCTTCCCTGAAGGGATGCCTTTAGGTGAGCTTTGTGCCTCCCAACTGTTTTGGAGCAGACCCAGGAATACTCATTTAGATAGACAGACACACTGCTAATAGATCTGTCACTACTCCTTCTTAGCAGCACATACTAAGACTCTGCAGTTGTTGCATTTACCACCAGCAATTCAGGATCTGCTTTCCAGTTGCTTCAGTGAACAGGGCTAGTCACGAACCTGGACCATGTAAGTTCTTACTGAACTTGGCCGGGCTGACAGTGCCGAATTGGCTACAGTCAGAAATTAGACCCAGCTGCACCCAGCCCCTCTGATCTCTGAGGACCAGCTGGAATGCAAGGGGTTCGTTTTCTGCCAAATTTCTATATCTTTAATGCAACAGAAAAATGGCTTGTCCCGGGAGAGTTTTTCTCCTGTCTCTGTTCCATTTATAACAGCATTCAGAGGGACATAAAAAGAATTGCTTTGGGAGCATGGCATTTATCCACAGACAACCAAAGGGAACCAAAGATATGCTTCTTCATGGTTGTTGGTCTTATTTGCATTGGTGTTTCTGCAAGGAAGATGATACTACTGACTTTTACTATGTGAGGAAAGCTGTGATGACCATGGGAGGGGGCTTGTTCTGTTTACAACCCAAGGTTTCATTACAAATACACCAAACTAAATCTTACACTGAAAAGGGCAGAAAACAGACCAGATTCTTCTAGTTCTTCACACTAATGTTACCAAGAGGTAATTCCATTACTTGTTGATGGAGGTGATGACAGAAGAGTGAGGAAGGACTATATGAGGACTACAAGATGTGAGGAGGTTACACGGGGAGAAAATTACATGGACCAAAGCCCAAGTAGAATTTAATCTGGTTACTGCTGCAACAGACAACACAAAATGTTTTTACCAATACATTAGCAACAAAAGAAGGGCTAAGGAGAACCTCTATCCTTCACTTGATGCACAGGCAAACGTATGACAAAGTACAGGAAAAGGCAAAGATACTTTGCCCAGCTTGTAACAAAGACCGGCAGTCCTCAGGGTACCCAGTCCCCTGAGCTGGAAGACAGGGATGGGGAGCCCCATAATCCAGGAGGAAATGGTCAGTGACCTGCTACTTGGACACTCACAATTCTACAGGCCCTAATGGGATCCACCCAAGGGTGCTAAGGGAGCTGGCAGAACAGCTTGCCAAGTCGCTTTCACAGAATTATTAAGATTGGAAAGGACCTCCAAGACCATCAAGTCCAACCTTTGACCGATCACCACCTTGTCAACTAAACCCAGCACTAGGTAGCCACATCCACTCGTTTCTTGAACACTTTCAAGGATGGCTACTCCACCACTTCCCTGGGCAGCCTGTTCCAAGGCTTAACCACTCTTCCCACAAAAAAATTTCTTCCTGATGTCCAACAGGAACCTCCCCTGGCACATCTGGAGGCCTTATCCTCTTGTCCTGTCGGTAGTTGCCTGGGAGAAGAGGCTGACCCCTTACAACCTTCTTTCAGGTAGTTGTAGAGAGCGATAATGTCTCCCTGGAGCCTCCCTTTCTCCAGGGTAAACAACCCCAGCTCCCTCAGGTGCTCCTTACATAACTTACTTTCTAGACCCTTCTTGCCCTTCTCTGGATACATTCCTGCACCTCAGTTGCCCTTCTTGTTGTGAAGGCCAGAACTGGACAAAGCACATGAGGTGAGGCCTCACCAGTGCTGATTAAAGGGGGACAATCACTGCCCTGGTCCTGCTGGCCACACCATTTTCAATACAGGCCAGGAGGCCCAGACAAAAAGGGAACTCAGGAGTACACTGCCCTCAAATACAGGTCACCAGACAACAAGCTTGGTCAGCCCGGGGAATTACACCAGGGCTATAGACCTCGAGGGACAGCAGCCACTTTGGATCTCACTGGGAAACTCACTCATGAAACTTACTGAGACTGGAAACTTGGAAGAGGATGAACCCAGCAGATGTTGGTTTACCTTTCACTTTCTCCTGCACGCTCCTTACTGTGTGGATGCAATGAGCTGTATAACTGAAAATAACTACACAACAACATCAGAAAAAACTGCAAAAGCTGCCACCAGCAAGTCCTCACACATGAACGAGACAGGAAAGAGGTATTAAGGCTGGAACACGCAACCACCACCAGCATCATGACCTCTGTCAGCTAGGGCACTTCTACATTATCTCTGCAGTTAAAACCTCCAGCAGAGCCCAGCATTCTACAAATGAGGTAATGACTCAATGCCTCGAAGCATGGAATAGGTCTACAAAAAAGGGGGGGGGAGAAACCAAACCAATGAACAACGTTATAACCCGTTTCATAACAATGATTCTGCTTTTGTTTCAGGGATAAGTTTACATTTAGCTTCCTCATTCCTTTTCTCCACACTGAGAACACATGCCAGTTGTGCTATCTGCTTAACACTGCATAACCTTCCCCTCAGAGCAAAGGGGAGCTGCAGAGAAGAGCCTGACTTGAAAAGAGCAGAGTTTTAGCTTTTGAAGGCTATGTTAAAAACAGTGAACTTCTGAACATCTCAAAATGAGATGATTCGGTTATTAAAGTGGCGGCAGAGAGGCAGGTTTGTGTTCCCAGGGACCGGCTCTGAGGCCGCTGCCAAGGCCGGTGCCGAGCCCCCTTCAGCCGCGGGACGGCCGGGACGGGAGGGCCCGGCTGCTCCTGCACACGCACCCGGCCGCGGGCGCTTGGCCCAAACACGCCTTTTCCCCCTTTTTTCCCTCCGTGGGACCTGCTCCCCGCCGCTTCCCCAGCTCTCCCCACACCTCCAGGCCGCCCCCCCGGGCCAACAGTCCAGCGCTGCCCGGCCCCGGCACTCACGGCCTTCCCGGCTCTCCTGGACCCCGCGGCCTTGGCGGAGCCGGAGCGCGTCCAGACGCCGCGGCTGCTGAGGGCCGGGCCCTCCAGGGAGATGAAATCGGAGCTGGATTCCAGCAGGTCGAAGGGGGGCCGGCGGCAGCGGCTGTCGCGAGCGGCCATGCGTGCCGGGCGGGCGGCGCTGCTCCGCAGGACCACCATGGTGTGTGTGAGGGGGTGACGGACACAGGAGGGACCAGCCCCCGCCTGGCCTGGCCTGGCCTGGCCTGGGGCGGCCGCCGCTCCGCCGGCTCCTTCCCGCCCCGCTCTCCCTCCGGCCGCTACTGCCGGCGCGCGCGGCGGAAGGACACGGGGCGCGCAGCGGCTCCGCCTCGCGCGTTTGGCGCCCAAAAACTCGTATCGCTACGCCCGCCGAGCGCGAGGCGGGGCTCGCGCGGAGGCCCCGCCCTCCCGAGGGGTCCCCGCGGCCGCTCCCGCCGAGCGCGCGGGCCGGGCCGGGCAGGGATGGCGGCGGCGCCCTCAGGGCCGGCGTAGGGGCCGCCCCGCCGGGCCCAGCGCTGCCCGCTCGCACGGGCCATGGCGCGGCCCGCGGCCGCCTACGAGGCGGCGGTGCCGGCCCGCCCTGCCTGCACCTACACCAGCTGCTACTGGTAAGGAATGACGGGGACGGGGACCCCCGCACCCCGGGGAGGCGCTGGGGTGGCCGGAACCGCCGGCGGGAGTGGCGCGGCTGCCGGCTGGCCTCACGGCTCTCGCCTCTGCCCTCAGCTCGCTTCCTTGCACCACAAATAAAGCTGGAGGGGAAAAAAAAATATTTTTTTGTGTGTGTGTTTTGCAGCGAAGAAAATGTTTGGAAGCTTTGTGACTACATCAGGAGTCAGGATCGATACCCCTTAGAAGAGTTTTACGCTGTTTTCATATCCAATGACAGGAGGATGGTGAGTCAATGGGATGTGATCGGTCGGCCCTGGAGAGGCTCGGGCCTGCAGAGCGCAGCCCAGAGTAGGTGAGACGTGGCCGCAGCGATTCAGCCACAGCCCAGGGTAGGTGAGTGAGCCTTTAGCCCGGTCTCTTAGTGAAACACAGTCCAAACCCATGTTATAGATCACTTTGGCTCAGAGGTGTGCCATCCACACCACGTGAGGTATTTTAATTACGCACTGCATCAAGGACAGTGGGGAAGAGGCGTGGTGTCCCTGTGAGCTGTGGGGTAATTCTTCCCTGTAATCTGTCAATTTAGGAGAATGGTTATCTTTGTGGAATCACAGAGCCATTAATAACCATAAGGTTGGAGAAGACCTGTAAGATCAAGTCCAGCTGTTAACCAAGCACCACTGCATTCACCATGAAACCATATCCACAAGTGCTCCCTCCTCATGTCTTTTGGACACTTGGAATCACAATGGTGGTTTGGAATCACAATGGTGATTCCACCACTTCTCTGGACAGCCTATTCTAATGTGGCCCAGGATAGTATCTCAAACTCCATGCTTCTGAGGGACAAACTGGAGAAAATCTGACTGCAGCACAGATTTAAAGCGAGGAAGTTGATAGGTTAGCAAGGAACTAACTAATTTACCTGAAATTAATCTGTATTACTCTGAAAGATTTTATTCACTTCAGATTCACCTATAACTTGCAGATTCCCCTCTGGAAGCAGAAATCTGGACATGGAGATGAGCCCGTTGTCTGGGTAAGGCATTCGTTCTCTCTCAGTAATTTCGAGTTTGTGCCTCTGTAGTTGACAGCTGCAGGATCAGATACAGGTATCTTCACTGTGAGAAATTGTTCCATCTGAACGTAAAGGAACAGTTTTTTTGCTGTGAGGGTGATGGAGCACTGGAGCATGTTGCCCAGGGAGGTTGTGGAGTCTCCATCCTTGGAGATGTTTCGAAGCTGTCCAGACACAGTCCTGGGCAGCTGCCTCTAGGTATGCCTGCTGGAGCAACAGGTTGGACCAGATGACCTCCTGAAGTCCCTTCCAACCCCAACCATTGAATAGTTTTGTATTAATTTTTATTATTCTTTTACAAAAGATTTATAGATAGCTTAAATCTGGTGCTCCTTTGTACCATCTATCATAAATTAACAGCAAGATGGTAAAATCAACAGAAGACAAGTCTTACTTTGGTAAGAGTACAGATTAGTGAAAATTATTATCTGGGTATCGAGGCTGCCAGCTTTGTAGAATTATGAGTAGATGACTGTACTTGTAAGAAGTAAATGGTTGAAAATATTTATGTAGGCTTGCTAGATGACAGAAAACTATAAGCAATATATGTATTCTGGTGTCAGCAATTAAACTGACCCATAAATGGCGGCTTTGGAGTGTCATTTGATCAATTAATGTAATTCAGTGATTGCTGCTACAGAAGTCCTTGGTATCATTACAGAGTGCTTCCAGTTATCTGGCACAGAAAAAACTATTTCTTGTGGCAATTTCTATTTCTGAAATTCTGTGAAAGAATCTGCGGACTTCTGAAGTTCTCTGATTTCTGAATCATTCATTCTCTCCCAAAATGTTGGTCTTTTTGCAGTACAAAAAAAGATTTAGTTTAAAAAGAGATCCATGTGTAACAGAGATGACCTAAAAAGAAATAGGAGAGTCTGGAAAGGCCATGGCAGAATGTGGATTTCTCATAAAAATTCATGTATTGGAAGGTATTTTAACTTTGTTTCAATGGATTGTAGAATATGTAAGGCTTGTAGGTACTTTTTCTTATAAGTTTAAAGAGATTCTTTTAAATACTGCTGGATACAGTTGTAAATATTGGCTTGGTGAAGTATCTTGCCCAAATCCTTTTCATTCGAATCCCTTTGTGGTTTTAATATTTAAAGTGTTGAAAGACAGTGCTCCAAACCCTTTTTGTGAGTGGATTCAATGTAAACTTCAGTAAGCTGTTAACAGCTGCCCTCAGTTTAATTTTGGAAAACATCAGTGAACATACCTGACTCCTGACATAAGTAACTGCAGTGTCCCCAAACCTCCACCACACCTGTGTTTCTTAGAAGTTAAGGAATAAAACTGCACCCCATAACCCAGGTGTCAAGACAAAATAGTTCCTTTTAAAAAGTGTGCCATATGTGTTTTCTCCCTGCTTCAAGAGCTGCTACAGGAATTTGTCTTACTCCTGCAATCCTCTTGATCTGAGCTGTTTGCTGGTTCTTCAGGTGCTTCTGGCACTGAACACTCAGCATTCAAATTCACAGACTGTGTTACTGCAACAGGTACAAAATCTCTTACTAGAAGAGATCACTAGAAAATTTTAATGTAAAGCTATCATCATGTCTTACTGTGAGCTTTTGTTTAGGACTGGGTCTAAGACGAAAATCCTTGTCCCATTCAACTTCTGTGTTTTGGTGTGGAACACGAAAGAGATTTGCTGTCTTAGGAGTAAAGTACACTTTAGTTTAGCTGTCTAGGCTTAAATCAAAGGAGGCTGCAAAGAAATGGAGAAAATACCGGTGTCTGGAAAAGCATGATGAGCAAGACAAGTGTTAGAAAAATCTCTCTCCTGGTGCCAGAAATGTTACAGGCTCAATATTCAAGGACAGAAAGCAGGGTTTAAAAAATGGATCTGAACTTCTGCTTTTAGGAAACTTTTTTTTTTCCCCCACTCCTTTTCGAGTTTCTCGTTAATTGCTGTTTAACTAATAGCTATTGCCCTTCTTCCCAGGACTACCATGTTATTCTACTTCATGTTTCCAGCGGGGAGCAGAACTTCATTTATGATCTTGACACAGTGTTGCCATTTCCATGTCCTTTTGATGTGTACAGCGTGGAGGCCTTTCGGCTGGATGACAGCCTTCGTCCAGAATTTCACAGGTGATGACATAAAATACAAAGACTCTGAATGGTATTTTGTGAACTCGAGGTTTTCTTTGGATATGTGTAGTGACAGAGGGTTTTTTTTGGTTACTCCAGTAAAATAAATGCCCTGTGTTATTTTTCTAAAGCTCTTTACCTTAATCATCAAAAGCCCTTTTCTTTCCTACTGTAGTTTCTTGTTAACTGCTCGGTACAATATTGCCGATTTGTGTATTTAATGAAATTAATGCTTCTTAATGAGAGGAAAGCACTCTTGTTCTGAGTGACTAAAGCAGTATTGTATACACGCATCTTTTGATACAGTTTTGCATTTTCATTTAGAAAAATCAGAATGATTCGAGCAGATTTGTACTTGAAGACGTTTGCTTCAGACAGATCTCATATGAAGGATGCAAATGGGAAATGGCAGAAACCTCCTCCTCCATACCCTTGCATTGAAACTGCAGGTAAGCCCCCAGAACTCCTTATTCCTGCTTACAGCGTTGAATGACATAATCAAGGATGTACACCACAAATAAATATACTTCCATAACATCTGTCCAGCTAGCTGGGAAAAAATAGAGGTTAAAAACATTTGGCGCTCCCTTTTCTGGACGTGTAGTCTAACAGGCCTTCTGGCATTTACCGTTATCAAACATTAATTACTAATCTTCATAAACTGAGCAGAGAGTGAGAGGTAGGTAATACTGTTCTCTCATTACAGCAGGGGACTGAATCAAAGAGGCCAAATAACTTGCTTAGGGGTCACAAAGTGAATTTTTTACACACTGATTATACCATGCTCTAGCTCGCAGGTCCCATTCTGGCAGAGCAGATTATGCTGCCAGGAGGAAGTTTTCGGGCTCTGCTCAGCACGATGGCTTTGCCTGGATGAGATGTTTGAGATTTCTGTACCAGGTGAATGGACCTGAGGATTGCTTTAAGGCACGCTGGCAAGTTGGCAAGTTTTTCCATAAGCCTCTTTTGGGTGGTAGTCTAGCTAATGGCCTCTGGGCCAGGCAGAGAGAGAGGTAAAGATCTATTGCCATCTATTCTATAGAACTGCTTAAACCATTCTTATCACACAGCACTTGAGCTTATTCTAATCATGTGCTTGGCAAGCTGACTAACATTTGGCACGTGCTTGTTTGTTCTCTCATTTTCTTCCAGGGAAAGCGCGGTGTAGTTTTGCTTTGGAAGAGTTTTCATGTTACCCCTCTGCATGTTTGGTTTTGCCACTTTTTTAATAATGCAGTACTGCTACATGCTTATATTAGAGAAGGCAGAGGCAAAGAAACGTATTTTGTGTTTAGGTCTGAGTGTATTGCAGTTTTAAGTTGCTGAGAAGTTAACTCTCAGTCTTTACTTTGGCTTCTAGGGAAGCTTGATGTTGCACACGAGAGTAGAAATGAACTGTGAGAGTGAGCAGGAGCACAGTCTTAGTTATGAAATTTCAGGTGTTTTCTTGACAATCCAGTCTATGATGTGCCTTAAATTCTAGGTCTTGGTTGTTATGTTCAGTAGAGTTTTATGCAAAGGTGGTGTAGGGAGCGTAGAATGCCTGAACTACAGTGGATGGTTCACTGTTAGCTGAAGCCTCCTAGGGGCTGAGAACTTTTTGCCTGTGGAAACGTTGTTGTGATAATTGAGAGATAATGAAAGTGTGAGAAATATAGGTGAGGACAGGCCCGGAAAGTGAAAAAGTTCTACTGAAATCGAAAGAGTAAAAGCCATTTACTGGTAGATAGTAAGTTACAGAATGACTCAAACAGTTGCAGATGTGTACATGTACCTGTAGCTCGAGTGAATGACTCCATAGTTGCAAACCCTGTAACTCTTGCTCTTTCCTGTCTTGTTTGGCTGAGCTTTATCTCACTGAGGAGCAGCAGCCACAGGTCTCAGCCAACCTCCAGACTGTCTCTGTGATGCTGCTAGATAGTGAAAGATACATAGCTCTTCCTTTCTCTTATGTGTTAGTTCTTTGCTCTGTATCTTGCCATGCTGAAGGAAACATCCATAGGTCACCCAGTCAAACACCTAATCAAAACAGAGGTTCCTCAGGGCTCTGTCCAGTGTAGTCTTGAATACCTCCAGGGATGGCAATTCCACCACCTTTCTGGATAGCCTGTTCCAATCTTTGATGACTATTGTGGTAAATAAATAAAAATTCCTAATACATAATCTGAATTTCCCATGTTCCAACCTGCTTTTTTAACTTGTCCTCTTGCCAGGCTCCTCCAAGAAGGCTCTGGCTTCATCTTCTTCGTATCCTCTGATCAGGTAGATGTAGGCAGCAGTAATGTTCCCCCTTTGTCTTCTCTTTTTAAGACTAAACAGACCCAGTTCTCTCAGCCTCTCCTTGAATATAATGTTGTCCTGCCCCAAAAAACTTGATGTTCTTCTTTTGGGCTCACTCCAGTATGTCCATGTTTTGGGTTTTTTTTGTACTGAGGAGCTCCAAATGGACACAGTGTTCCAGCTCTGGGTTCATAGCCTCTGGTCTCCTGGTCAGGTGGCTGAAAGAAACCTGTTACCCTGCACCCACTGAAGGTGGAAGGTGATTCACTAGGGAATTTCAAGGCCTGAGTCAGAACAGGGATAGATTGTCCCATATTTAGGATGTCTAGTTCAAGTTGTCTTTCATTTACTACCAGCTCCTCCCGCTTTATTTTTTGTCTCCCCTTGGTATTCACTGGGGATACCTTATTATGGTGTGTGCTTCAATGTGCACGGTGCTGTAAGTCTGCAAGGAGTCCGGGTTTAACTGCGATGTCTCAGCACAGTTTTATCAGGCATAAAAGTGCCTTATTTTTAACTTGTTGGAGAAGTGGGTGGTAGACCTTTTGTTATCATAGAAGAGCCTGGGGTATTAATATTCATGTCCGTGCCAAATTCCATTGCAGATAACTGTTTTCTCCCCGCCGTTTCACTTCGATAGAGTGCTCTGCTTTCCATGTTGATTTGTGTTTGTGTAAGATTAAATTGCTTGCATATTTCACATTAGAGGTGACTGCGGTTTAATGGCTGACAGAATTGACCCAATATTGTTTTAATACCAATTTATTTCTGAGGCACATTTGTATCAGAGTGGTTTGTTTTGGTTTGGTTTTATTGCTTTCATTTAGAGTAGCCAAATTCCTACTCTCTTGAGAAGATGTAAGGTTTTTAAATCACTTCTGTTTCTTAATGTCTTTTTTGATGTTTGTGTCATTTGACCCTGGCTGGTTGCCAGATGCCCACCAAAGCTTCTCAATCACTCTCCTCCTCAGCTGGACAAGGGAGAGAAAATATAATGAAAGACTCATGAGTTGCGATAAGGATGGGGAGAGATTACTCAGTCACTCACTGATTACTGTCACTGGCAAAACAGACTTGACTTGGAGAAATTAATTGAATTAGTTGAATCAAAATCAGAGCCTCAAAATCTATACCTCCTCCCTCCCCCCTCAGCACAGGGAGATGGAAAATGGGGTTACAGTCAGTTCATCACATGTTGTTTCTGCCACTGGTTTTTCTTCAGGAAGAGGAGTCCTTCTCCTGCTCCATTGTGTAGCCTTTCAGGAGACAGTCCTCCGTGAACTTCTCCAATGTGAGTCCATCCCATGGGCTGCAGTTCTTCACAAACTGCTCCAGCAGGGGTCCCTTTCCACAGGGTGCATTCCTTCAGGAACAGGCTGCTCCAGTGTGGGGCCACCATGGGGTCACAAGTCTTGCCAGCAAACCTGCTCCAGCGTGGAGTCCTCTCTCCATGGGTCTGCAGGTGCTCCAGCACAGGCTTCCCACTGGGTCACAGCCTTCTCTCAGGCATCCACCTGCGCCAGCGTGAGGCTCCTCCATGGGCTGCAGGGGCACAGCTGCTTCACCACAGTCTTCACCATGGGCTGCAGGGGAATTTCTGCTCCAGTGCCTGGAGGACCACCTCCCCCTCCTCCTTCAATGACCTTGGTGTCTGCAGAGTTGTTTCTGGCACAGATTCTCGCTCTGGTCTTCTCTGGCCACAATTACACCTGTGGAAGAGCTTTTTTTTCCGTCTTAAATATATTATCCCAGAGGTGCCAGTACCTCAGCCTTCGACGGCAGTGGGTCCATCCCAGAGCCGGCTGGCACTGGCTCTGTAGGACCTGGGGGAAACTTCTGGCAACTTCTCAGAGAAGCCACCGATGTAGCCCTCCCGCTTCCAGAACTTTTGGAATTGAATTGAGGAACCTCTGTCAGTGACCAATTAAGCACTTTTCCTACTACTAACTCAAAGGGATTAAATCTTAAAACTGTATTTGTCCCGCTCATGGGGTTGCAAAATTTGTTTAAAAACATTTTTTAAACACAAACAACCCCAGTCCAACCAATGAACGGAAGAAACCCTCCCTCAAACTCCTCAGTATCTCCTCAGAACTCACATGCTAAGCATTAGCCTTTTGGAACTGGCTCTGCTCTAGCCATTTCCCAGAGCTAGGCCTCTCTATTTATTACTGGTATTGCTCTGGCCTCTGTTCTGCTCTGTTGCCATGTGTGCCAGGAGAAGCTGGCTAACCTAACTGGGTGCTTGGTGCTTTCTCACCCTGCCCTGTCCTCAAAGCAGCTCTGCTGCAATAATCATACCTGAGCTGCAGCAGATTCCCCCCATCCCACCTGATTGCAGTGACCTCCTGTTGAAAGAAAACAGGGTATTTTGTTCAAATAGTGAAAATTAAGAAAATGTGATTTGGTGCACAGATTCATTATTCCAGGGCTGATGAGCCCAGCCTGGGGTTTTCTTTTAAATCTTCTTTCTGCAAATTAATGAGGTCTGATTCTGCTTAGTTTATGAGTCGTGATGAGATCAGCCCTCCTTACTGCAAGCCCGTGTAAAATACAGCCTGCACAGTGCATTTCAGAATTACTCAGAACAGATGGCCGTCAGCTTACAGACAACTGTTAGCAGCAGCTCTAGCACTGAAAAGCATTGGTTTGAGTTTCAGCTCTCCCAAGGTGTTTGGTAGCACACTCACAGGATTGATTTATAAAGACTTTTTGTTCTTTATATTATTATTAAAATCCCTGGTAGTCAATAATGATGGGGTTTTACTTCGGTTGGGTTTTTTTGTGGGTAGGACAGCTGAGAAATTCTGGAGGCATTGTGTATTACACATGTATGTAACAGGAAAGCTGCTAGACAAGAGGCCAGGGCAGATGTCTGCAGTTGCTTTCTGTATCTTCTCTCTGAGAGATGATGGTGGGATCATAGTGAAAGTGAAAAGGAAAGCACTGATACTGGTAGAAGTAGCTCCTCTGCACTTAATGGGAACCTTCTGCTGCTCTCATTTGAGAATAAAACTCTGGTCTGTTAAGTTAGGTCCTTACTTCATAAGCTTTTGTGGAAGTAATGAATCAAGTTGGATAGAGGCAATAAAGACACATCTAAGGATAGAAGTATTTAAATTCCCAGAGTGGCTTATTGAAATTAGTGTGAAAGATAATTTAAAGTGATGAGCTGTGTTTTACACCGAGATCAACCAGGAATGGTTTGCACAGTCAGTTGTATCTCAGCCTTGGGGACAGCACCCTCCAGCTGAGTGTGGGAAGAGTCTGTCTGACTCATCTCCCTGCTCAGACAGGGGAAAGGGATCTGCAGAGAACTGTAGACACCTACACGAGTCTGTGAAGAGCCCAAGTTTCTAAGTATTTTAGGTGCCCCCAAGGTGAGGCATCAGCAGAACTGACCTTGGAGGCTTTGTTCCAGACTTCCCCGCTTCCAGCAGCCCTTGGGCAGCTGTCGTTACGCTGAGTTAGTCCAAGGTCTGTGAGCCAAGCTGAGGCTTGGCTGAAACGTTGCTTTCTAACTACTGTTGGCAGAAGCCACAAGTATCATGGCTAACAATGCCACAGGATAGTGCGTGGCCTTTTATTTTGTCCTTGCTCTGGGTAAAAGTGTCAGACTTGATTTAAGCAAAAGTAGAATTATTCAGGAATCCCAGAATTCGCCAGATAGGTCTTTTTGATGGGATGTGTGTAACTAAGTATATTTGGGAAAAGAGATAGATGAGCTCTAAGCATACACAAATGCAAGCTAGTGTAATAGCCACAGCACCTGAGGAGAACTGCAACTGTAACATAAATCTTAAAAAAAATAATTGTGCTGCTCTTGATCTTGTGAAAATGTTATATAACACATGCTCCTTGCTTTTGTGGAGAAATCCTCTTGGTGTGTCAACTGTAGTATCCAGAGGTCTCTTTTGTAAATTCTGATGTTCATCACTGTGCATCACTAACGTTCATCTTCATCTGCTTAGGGAAGAGGACTTTGTGGTGTTTTCATGCATTTTTGCCGAGCTGTTTTCTGAAGCTGTAAGGTGTAACCTGACAGGCACGGCCTTCAGATAGAGCCCATGAGAGAGGAGCGGCATAGAGGGACTGTTATTGCATGAATAAAACGGGAGAGGTCTCATTAAGTTTTTCCCTATGGATATCTCCCGTGCTGCTCCAGTGCCATCTACTGACTGGTTCTTAGGCCATTGCTCTTCACAGGAATGGGCTTGTTTGCTTTGGTAAAACAATATTTCCTTTCTAATGGACTTCTCTGATGGACTGCGTTATGCTCTGCCACAATCCTTCTGAATTTAAGAGAATATTTCATTTCTTACAGGCATTGTGACAGCAACTTTGAAGTTGCTAACAGATCTGTGTTTGTAACTACTGAACAGTCCCCTTTGGACTGCTTTACCAGTCACAGAAAAGTTCTATGAAATTATTCTACTATGCTTGTGCACATAAAGCAGAGAATTATTTATTTATTAATCTTAAAGTATATGAAGACTCACATTACTTAAAACAACACCATCTGTGAGGAAAAGTCAAGTTCCAAGCTTGGAACTGGAAAACAGACTTACCAGTCTACCCCCAAGCAAGAGCTGTTATCCACTGCTAATTGTGCTTGAGCTAGGACAGCAAATTGCTGAGCTTGTATTTTAAATTCCCACACAGTCAGGCAGAAACTGTGCATGTGCTGCCAGACTCACTTCAGCAGTAGGACAATGGCTGGACATAAGGATTTTCCATATGCAAAGTTCAAACAGGTTAACAATAAAAGTTTTAGAGGCCAGACCTCAAAAGGGGTGAGAGTGAATAGTCAAATCACAGAGCTGTGCTGTAGTGTAGATGTGGTGCAAACAGAGGCCTTTGGGGGCTGGATTATGGCTGGGGCCCTGGGTCTGGGATTCCCAAGTCTGGGATTCCTGAACATCATCTTCCCTTCCTTGTTTATGCCGTCCATAATGATAAGCCTAATTACACAAGCTTTTTGCAGATGAAGCAAATTCCATCCTTTGGATTTTATAATCTGTTCATTAGAGCCTCCTCTTGTTTGGTTCTTAATCCTTAAATGCACACATCCATGTTAAAATAAATACTTAATACAGTGGGAAAGCTGTTTACAGTAAATCTGTAAAGTAAAGCTGTAACAGTGGCTTTACCACTCTGTTCCTTAAACTCATTCTCTTCCAGTTTTCTTTTAATGGGCATTTAAAAAGATGATTTGCACACATCATCAGTGAGAACGTAAAACAACAAGCCTTCAGATGTTTGTAGTCAGAGCTGAACCTCTGACCAGCGTGGTTCTGAGTCAGCAAGGCTTATACCAGGCCAGCTCCAGAAAAAGGATGTATAAGGCACCTAAACCCAAAACTTCATACAAGCACTTTCCAGTGTGCTCTCTGGGATCCACGAATAGGACAGAATGGTTTCTACCTCTACTGCAGGGGACAGAGCAGATTAAACTCCTGTCAAAGAGCAGTCATGGTTATTTTTCTCTTGAAATCATGTCAGTTAAACTTTTCCCCCTCTGACTTCTATTTTTGTTCAGGATTCACAAAAAATAAATTGAAGTATTTGCCCCTAGCCTAGGTTTATGCCTTCCTTTGCCTGAGCATCCCTCTAGGCTATGGGCTGTGTGAGGTCAGATATTTCCTCCCCTCTGCATACTCTGGCCTCACAGTGGGCTGGTGCACAGCAAGGACAAAGTTTGGGGCTGGAGAGAAAGCAAATACTGTAATCTGGGAGTAACAAATTGTAGGTTTGACAAGGGGCTTGTCAATTCTAAGAGACAATAAGCAAATCCCAGTTATGACTGCTGTTGTTCCTCTGTGGTCAGTGTAAAACTTGACTCCATTAACTTTAGTTCAGAACTTAGGAGAGGGAATAGTGTCTTCCCTGATTTTGAGTAATCCCATTTGTGTGAATGCAGGAAGACTATGAGCACCTGTTGCATTGCAGTTCCCTGTGTTGGTTGTTATTTGCGCTCCAGTTCTGTGACACTGCTTGGCCCTTCTAGGCTGCTGATGTAGGGAAAAATCTGACCCTTTCCTACATATAGTGGTTTCTAATGACTGAGGATGCTTACTGATCTGTAATGTGATTATTGCCATGGGCAGAAAGAGGAATCGGGGCAAAAGCAACATTTCAGAGACTGGAGATAGAAGGTTTTGTAACACCATACAATTTGCAGAATACCTTTCCATAGTGAGCTGAACTATCAAAGAGGAGTTTGGGGCATTTTCTTGATAAATGTATACCTGTGCTACAGAACCTGTATCAGGAACTTAAATATTTCCCTTTTCTGGTCCTTTTTTAGACTCCAAGATGAACTTGGATGATTTCATCAGTATGAATCCCAATGTGGGATGGGGCTCAGTGTTCCCCCTTCCAGACTTTGTGCATCGATTTGGCAGACAGACTGATTACAGCTACTCCTTGGAAGAACAGTGAAGTGAACAAAGAAGTTCTCCCTGCTTCTGTTTTGAGTGGATGTGTTTTGTTTTGCTGCTCTTACATTGTGTTTATGGTTTACATTTCTGTACATGGAATAAGTACTTGGAAAAATAGAATACCCAGTCAGAAATATCATGAACCGAATAAAAACTTTTATTTTGATTATGTAAGAATGAACTTGTTTTTTAATGTCAAATCAAAGGCAGACGTCCCACCATAAGCATATTGCCTTTCCATCTACTCTGCCCAAATGGAGAAGAGCTGTAAGAAAAGCTTTTGGAAAAATATGTGCATAAAATACTGAACATTGTAGCTCATATTGCTGCACGTTGACACATTTTAGAAGTGTGATAAAATGTGTTTTCTTTGTGTTCTGATTTCTGTCACTTATGTAAGCAGACGGTGCATCTCAGTTTACTCACTGGCTTTACAGATTAGTCCTTATTTAGCAGAAGCCTAAAGGGAACATTGATGGAGTAGCACAATCCTGAACTCCCATGCACTGTGTAAAACCAGGTGAGTGTCCAGGTTTCTGAGCTGTATAAGGGCAGGATTAAATCCTGCCATTTCAGTTAAATGTTCCAGTGCTGACATTACTGGAAGATGCAGTTGCTATTTTTGCTTCTCAGGCTGGCTGTGCATTTTCACCTGCTCCCATCTTCTTGCACTTGGTCTTAGCCTGGCCTCGTGGTAATCCAGGGTAGGAAGCTCAACTGACAGAAAGCAGGAAAGTTTGTTGGGTTTTTTCCTGCACCTTAGCTCCTTGAGCTGGCCTGCCACGAGGTCAGACAGCTGCTCCTGCTGGAGTAAGGAAATCTGCAGGGCCATATGGCTGGGGGGAAGGGAATGAGAAAGCCTACCCCACTGGGGTCACCTGCTGCTGAGTATCCTCAGAAGTGATACCAAGCTGCATCCCTGCAGGGCATCCCAGGAAAGCCATCATGCCGATCAGGGGTTTGGAGCAGTCTCCCACGCCTTAGAAGAGTGCTTTAAACATGGAATTACAGAAACAGGCTAAGATGGGGTATGTAATTCTCAGCTTTGGACCTGCTCTACTTTGCACAGTAGCACATTATAGAATCACAGACTGGTGGAATAATTCAGGTTAGAAGGGTCATGCAGTCTCTAGTCCGATCTCCTGTTGAAATCAGGTCAGACCAGGCTGCTCAGGACTTTATCCAGTCAGGCCTTGGAAACCTACTGGGGTTGACACTACAATAAATATTTGTGATGGACTTCAGTCCTGGTGAGGAAAAGCACAGTGAAGGTTTTAAGTATTATGGGATTGTTTTATTTGTAAGTACATAAAAATATAAAAACCACAAAGAAACTTATATGTATATTACTGTTACACAGCTGTATTGTTACACACAAACTTTATCACTGTATGTCACATCAGTTCCAGGGATTTTACTCAGCATGTTAGCAATGGGCACAGCTGACTGAACATCTGGGGAGTTGATTCACTTCATCCACACATCTCTTTCTGTGTCAAAGGGCTGCTTAACTTAATAATAAGGAACTGAAACTCTGTTGCCAGGTGCAGCACAGCTGGTTGGCTGTGCTGCCACAGGGATTCCTTGGGTGCCAGCAGAGACTATGGATAGGAGGCTGGTTGTTGGGGCACTCACCTGTGGACTGGGAGTTGATCTGCAGTTTCTGTCACTCTGAACCAGCTTCACTAGAATAGACTAAGATGATGAAACTCAGGATTCCTGATAAACTATTGCACAGAACCCTCCTGAGAGATCTGGATTCAACCAGATACACCTGAGTAAAAGGTCTGATTTAGCCACGTTTGATGAAACATCAGCTCTTTCTGCATGACACTGATGTGGCAGACATGCTCTGAGTGAATGAAGATGCTGTTACTTGCCATTTTTGAGTGATGTTAAGAGTGGCTGTGACTGTGCAGAGCAGCAGCAGTTTTCCTGCTCAGCTCTGTGCAGATGCCAACCCAGTGCCCGGGTCAGACGTGGCAGAAGTGAGAATGTAAAGATCTGTGGTTTAGATGAGCGCTTCTTACCCTTCAGGTGATTGATTGTCATGCACATAGAGTTCCTGTGCATTGCTCAACAGACCCTTTGTTACAGAACATTAGGTTCTCATCCCTCCCTACTTGAGTGTGTCACTTGATTTAACCTCAGCTGGTTTCCGGTGCCTGAAATCTGTGACACACTCCCTTTAGTGGGGGTCAGACACAAGAGTCTGCCTGGTTTCATCTAGTTTCAGCATCGAGGCTGTTAAGAAGGAGGACAGTCACAACCATTATTCAGAACATGCAAGTTAAAAAAAAAAAATCAATGTGTTCTTTTTCTCTTTCATCCTTCTGAACAGGTGCTTAATGTTACATGTAGCAGGCTGGGGGTGTGTGATGATAGCTTTTCTATAATTAACAACCTTTTTGTAGCTCTTGTAAAAAGTTGTCATTCCAGAGGAATCATAGAAGCCAGAGAATGATTTCTTTCAGTGCTGAGGATGGTGATTTTGTGGTGCTGCCTCTGTAGCCCTTCAAGCCTGGGAGCATTTCATCAGCATTTCAGGAGATGTGCTATCAGAAGGACAGAATTCAGGAATAAATCAAGTGCTCATTGAGGGCCCCAAATACAAAGAAGAACTACTTGCTTAACTGTAACTATCAGAAACCAGCCCTTTTCTAATGCTGATTAATTCCATTGTCCCATCAGAGGGACTAAGTGAATTCCCTCCCCTCTTTTGTCCCTTCTCTCTCCAAATAACCCCAATCCTGACTATTTTGTGGAACCTGCTGTGTTTAACCTCTCTGCTGTCACCTCATATTGAGGTGTGAGGTGTTTTCCCACTGAGCACCACAGTAAGTTGCAGAAAGAAATGCAAAGTTTTCTGAGAGTCACTTGGCCGTGTGCCTGCAGGAGTACAAAGAACTGCTGCTGTGAAGCTGATGGTGAGGACTCAACTTCGCTGCCAGACATCACTAATTATCATCTCTGTGATCACTGATGTATTTAAACACCTAAGATTGAAGCAACTTTATACCACAGGTGTATGTATGTGTGTGGGATGCACTGCATATGCACACCTACAGTCCATGCTGTCCATAGCCCTCGAGACTTTGAATCTTTCCTGTGTCCAGATGCTGTCCCAATGTGTCCAAGACAAAGATATGCTGCTTATGCACTTTAAGTACAATGACTTCTTAGTGCAGCTTAGCTTTCCATTCCCTTTCAGCCTTTTTTACTTTGTCCTTTCCCACAGTGATGCCTTTCTGCTGTCCAGTTATTACAGTATTTACGTGCTCAGAGCCCTTAAGTGGTGGCTTTCTGGACTAGGTGACTCTCGAGTTGGGTGATTGAACAAAGCAAGGAGAAACCTTTTGCCTTTAGGTCAGTTACTCTCAATCCCATGGTCTCCCAGTTTCTGGGTTCAGTTCATCCACACATCTCATCTGGCCACCAGAAATTCTCCAACACCTTTACTTCTACACATCATAGGGCAAGACCCTGAGAGCCTTATAATGAGGGGCACATCCTATCTCACAGGTCCCCATCAGGCTATTGCAGCAGTAAACTGCAGCATGAGATGGAACACCCACATCTCTCCTTCCTTCTTCCTCTTCTTTGCTGCCGCTTTTTACTTAAGAACATAGTTTATGATGCGATAACTAACCTCCTTTATTTACCTGATTGGGACTTTAGAAGAAGAAAGGCTGGTTTTTTCTGGCATGCATTTGCTTGGGCAATGCATTTTTGCAAACTTGTATGTGACCAGGTCTGTCTTGAGAAAATCCCATTTCTCAGTTGGCCAGCAGAGAGAGCAGTCAGCATTCAGTGGATGTGCACACTTGGCCAGAGGTGATCTCCTGCACACTCAGCCTTGCCAGTAGCTGTTACAGTTTAAAAAAAAAAAAAAAAATCTGAGAGCATTGCAGAGGTGATTGGTACCTCACAATGTTGCAGATGAAGGGTTACCTGTTGCCCTTGCCTGCCTGAGCCTGTAAGGTCGGTGCAAGTTCTTCCTGAGCCTCAAGGGCTATATGCCAGCATCCAAACCACCTACCAGTTTTTGGGGGCATTCACAATCCCTACCGAAATGGGTGCGTGACACCTTAGAATGTCAGACCAATTGCTTTGCTATCAATTTATGGACTTTGGAGGCTAAACTTGGGTACCTGGGATGCTGCAAACTGATCTGGACTGTTAAGGAGGCAAAGGGACACCAGGGTGCATTTGTATGAATAAAATTCCAGGATGAGATCCCTGGTTGGGACATTTTGACCTCCTCATACCCTCATTGCCCAGCCAGAGCCTCATGTGGACTCTGAAGCACCATTGATCTCCAAGAATCTACAGTAAAATGGCCATCTCTGGGGTCTGGTTGGTTGTGGGTTTTTTGTTAGAACAAGTTTGGTCCAAGTTTTCTCATTTTCCATGTTTTTTTCAGCCACCCTTTCAGGAAACCAGGGTTGTAGACTGAATGACCTGAGAAAGCTGTACCAGGGAATGGGAATGAGGTGTGAAAGTCCCACTGTGTCTGTACAGTAGTCACAGTCACCTCCCACCAAGTGCCTCGCAGAACCATTGCCGAGGCACTGTCAGTGACCCAGGGGGTGGCTGTCCCCTGTGCCTGGCACGGGCCATGCTGCTGGAGGGGAGGACCTGCAGAGCATCACTTCACACATCACCTGGCGGAGCAGATGGCTCCAGGTCTGGTGGGGCTGCCCTCATATGACACCTTGGATTCGCAGGCTTGGAGAATCTCATCTCCTCTCGAGGCGAAACCTGTCTGGACGTAAAACACACATTCAGGTAATTACCTACTCAGAGATTTGAGGGAGGGAATGCTGGTGATTTTCTTCTGCCTTCTGGCTTCCTCCTCATG